TTTATGCCTCCAATTAGAATTGGAGGTCTTTATGAGGTCCAGGGTATTGTTCAGTAAAGTCACTGCTTTATCCTTAGTTTCTAGATTAGTGACTGGTCCATAGTAGGCATTTCAGTATGTATGTATATTACTACTATGGCCCAGTAGTCATCAGAAGGGCTGAGCCAACTCTAAGCCTAGTAAGCCCATGGGGAAATGTCAAAAAGAAAAAGACATAACTGTAAGATTGGGAAAGTACAAAAGTAACTTCTCAAGTCCAATAATCATGATCACCTGTCAAAGTGTTATTTCAAATTACTTCTAGTTAAAAAGCTCCTCAGTGGGGGAAAAACCAAATAATTAGCCTCAGTAGACAATTTGTAGAAGATCAGACTTTAAAAGGATATGGTTAAAGATCATTACTGTGGTCAATTAACTGGTTAATGATTATTCTACTATCAATTGTAGTGGCAATTAAACTCCTCACAAGATTAATAGTCACCTGAGTATGTAGCACTAATTTCACAGGAGTCTTTATTTCATAAAGGATATTAGAAAATCACTCATAAATTTTCTCAGACATGATGTTTAATTCTTCTAAGGGGCTATATAAGTGGACCTTCAAAGCAGTTACATTTTAGACCTGTTTTGAAAAATTGATCTTTCTTAAAAGTAATTCAAATATTTGGTAGAGTAGAGAGGGGGTTGTCACATATTGTATTGTACCTTTCTTTAAACTAATAACTTTGTTGTTTTATTGTCAATAAGACACAGTCTTCCTGGTCAGACACAAAGGACTTTAGTGGTGTAGCTGCCTCAGTTTCCCTTTTCCTTATGTCCTAAAGTGGGGATACAATGGGTGCAGATGGATTTATGCATGCAGTGATGGTGTGTCATAGCTGAGGAACTCTGAGCTTGGAGAATTTCCTTCTTTAGTAGCATGGCCTAAGTGGCCTAAGTATGTTTTCTCTTTGTCTCAGCGGGAGACACTAAGTCAACCCAGGAGGTTTCTTGCTGCAAGTATTACTCCCAGAAATGGTCCAGGTAGTGTGTCACAGCCTTACATTATTGGTACACTCAGTAAGGCATATAGGGGCATAAGAGACTTGTAGTGGACTATATTTTAACAATATTCACTCCTGGTTCAATATTGTGTTAGGGTCTAGAATTTGTCTAATGTGTAGGCCACTTGCGCTTAATCTGACTCACTGAGGCAGATTATATTCAATTTGTCTCAAATAGCATTTAATTAGATCTACTTGAGCAGAATTGTAAGTGTCAGGATGAAATCCATCTGTGGAATTGACCACACTCAAGTCTCCTGTGATTTCAGATTCAGCTAACTTTGAATAAATCCCAAAACATAGACAACAAGGATATATAATGTATTATCCATTATGAGTCAGACTTGATGGGACAATCTTTGCTTTAATCATCAAAAAAAAAAAAAAAAAAGACAAAAACCCAAGGATCATTCCCAATACAGAGATTTTCTATGGCCCATTTACCCCAATCATATGTGTAAAATCATGTTAATCCTATTGGGGATTTATTGCTAAACTTTATTTAGATTGGTATTGGATCACCTTGGTTAAACTATAGGAGCAGTGTAATGAGTATCTGCAACCTCTGTAGGCATTCATGGACTAGCCAGTACTGCTCAGACACCATGAGCAACATATATTTGTACTGGTCAGATGAAGAAAATGTGCTGAGGTGACTAATCCTGCTTCCTCACTTGTTGAAGTTTGAACATTAGAGAAGCACGCTGACACAAGCATATAGAGCAGGGTTTATTTAAAAAGGGGTAACATAGACTTCTCCCAGGAGGGAGAAAGGGGCCATAGCTGGTATCCTGGTATCCCTACAAGTGAGATGTTCTGCCTTTTTTATATGAGCTAGGCTTCCTTTGTTCTCCTGCCCTCTTTCCCTTATCTTTCTCCTTCCTGCATATGTCACTAGGCATTTGACTAGGCCTAATAAATTCTCCTGGCATGGCCAAAAGGTGGGAAACAGGTGGGCTGAAGGGGGAATGGCAGGATGAAGCAGCCAAGGACACATCAATTAATAACCTTATAGCTTCCTGTAGGGAGGGGCAATTCCTGGGACAGGTTACATTAGCAATAGGTTGGGGGAGTGGAGGAAGGGCTCTGAAGGAATTAACATTTCAATCCTTCAGGGGAAAGTCTCCAACTTCCAGGACCCACTCAAAATTGGCCTCTTTGATCTGACCTGACTCGATTTACCTACCTATCTATACTGACTGTCCATCCAATTTTGGCTTCAATTGTACAGTGTGGGAATGCACCTCCAGGCTGGGAAGTTGCCCTTGATGTAGTGGAATAACTTAGGAGAGGCCATCTTCACATGAGTTTCCATTTTCCATGGAATGTGGAAGGGAATGACAAACAAGGAGCAGGTTAGATTTCCACCTGCAGCTGCTGCTTCACTCCAGCAAATCATGTCTGTGCTGGGTTGTGGTGCTAGCTTCAGCAAAGAGAGTGTTAATATCCCCCTCTCTCCATCTCCAAGGGTCTAGGGTTTTCTCTTGCCAGATGACAGGGTAATTTACTTTTCTTTACCAGAACATCAGTGTGTTCTCTCTGCTTTATTTATTTATTTATTTATTTATTTATTTTTAACAGTAATTTCCTAGTCACATCCAAGCCTATTGACTAGAAGAAAAAAGAGCAGCAGGGACCCAGGTATTTTCAAGACATGTACGGAAACCCATGTGAGTCACTATCTGGCTCTCTTGGGATACTGTACAGGAACTCACATAGAGTGAATGCAAATAAATGGTAGTTATCCTTTTGATCTAGGATCATGTTTACCAAACAGGTGATTCCAGGCTCCACAAGAATCCAGTTTTAAGACCATTCTGACAAGATTGCTAGAAAGAGGATTTACCAATCACATTGATGTTAACCATTGGTTATATATCTGACAAAACTACTTTTTTTTTTCAAAAGTAAAGGAGAAATTGAGATATTCTAAGGTATATAAGACTTAGGGCGTTCTTACTTGCAACTCTTCCCTACAAGAAATTCTAAAGAAAGTTTTCCAAGGCTCAAAATGAAATGGCATAAGGAGGTAACTTGGAACCACAGAGAAATCATGAACATGGTGAAGGTAATTAGGTAGATAAATAGAAAACCAGCCTTTTGTTTTTCTCTTTAGTTCTATATAACTTAAATATTTATGTTGGTATATGTGATAATATCCCACAGGCATCTTAGGCTGTTTCTTACTTTCATTCTTGTTTTTTTTTTTACTTCTGCAATTTACATATTTCAAATGGACCCCCAAATTAGTAGCATTTATAGTAGCATTTATCTTAATTTATGAATTGCCTGTGGAGGGGAAAAAGGTTTCAGTGTTTTGTGGTTCACAAAAAAAAAAAAATCTACAAAATTTACTACTGTAGAAAATAAAGACTTCTTAATGCAAATGAGGGAAAAAACTGTGGTTTTCCTTCTTGACTGATTGCCATAACACCTGTAGGCACCCAGAGTATTTTCACATCTCTTTCAGACATCATTAAGCACAGAGGCTTTTCCAGGATAACACTGATGCTAGATGAATTCTGTCATCTTGCCATCACTGATGTGGCCCTTGGGTTTACCACCACATTAGATGTATTAACCCATTTATATTATTTTGGGACAGATCTTAAAAAGGGGTGCATTTCTTAAAGATTGTGCCTCAGGCCCACATCTGATTTCTATGTCTTAGTTTCATCTTCCAACATTTTCAAGTCTGAGGTGATGCCATCTTGTGCTTCTATCATTCCTACTTTGGTTTCATCTTTACTAAGCAGTGCTATTGTTATGTTTGTTAAGTATAACATACACTTGGAGGAAAAGACTTGATATTGGCTTCTTCCCTCTTTTTCTGATATGCAGCTGGAAGGAATGGGAAGGGTCTGACCAGACCATCCTTGGTGGATTCTGGTTACATGGCTCTTGAGTAGAGAAGGGCCTGTTGCTTTGCTGCCCTCCAGGCACCAGTTTGAGTAACCCCCTGAAGCAGACTGCAGGAAAAGGGAGGAATGTGAGCTGTATGTTCTTGTCTCTCTTCAGACCCAGCTGGGCTTCTGGCTTAGTTACCCTCTGATAGATCTGGCTGGGTGGTTAGGACACAGATGCAAAAGGGGGAGAGAGATCTGTTCCAGAACTTTCAAAAGTCAACCCCTAGATATCAGGCCTTTATTCAAGATAGGAGAATAGGAGAGATTAGACAAACAAATGGTTGACATTGGGTTTTATTTAGAGCTTTAGGTGTTAAAGGCAGCCCCACCCCGCCTGCATGAACTCAAGTGAGCACTTTTTGGACACAGGTGTGTCACTGTTGTTAATTGTATAAAATCGTCCATGCTCCTCTAGTTTCTGACCTAGTTAGAAAATGTTGCCCAGGCTGAGAGCTGAAAGCCTGATTTTAAACCATTCTGTATTGAAAGAACTCTGGCGAATTACAAGTAACTTTAAAAATGAGAGATGAGGGGGTGGTATGGGGGTGTCTCTTTTTGAATTGGGAAACATGAAATGCTGCTTGAATTGCAAGGCCTTCACACAGGTTGCTATGATAGAACTGTTAGGAATGATTTTCAGTGCAGGAAAGTAGCCATTTGAAATAATTACTCTCAATCAGAAAAGATGGCCTTTGGATATAAAATACATACACTTATACATGTCCCCCACCTTGACTTGGAACAAATGTATTTAAATTTTTAATATAACTCAAGTGGCAGAATTTTAATGTTAATTGTTTACCCTTAGGAAGGGTGTCTATCATGAGTCCACAAGATGGCAGTGTCTTCTTCTCAGGGACCTTTAGGAAAGCTGTCAGGTGCTTCTCTGTGTGTATTGGGGCCTGGTAAAGGTGTAGGGGGGTGGGAGGGGGAAGGGCTTGTTGGTGTTTCAGGGATGGCAAAAAAAAAAAAAAAAAAAAAAAAAAAAACAGACCTCTTTTTTTCTAATTGGAAGAACAGATTCTTTTTACGTTTTCTAAAGCAGAAGACTCAGAAATATCTAAATGAGCCTTCCTCCTCTCTCTTTAGGGTTTATCATCTGATCCTCAGTGAAACAGGGGAGAAGAGAATGATGAAATCCCTGAGTGTTTTACTACTGATCCTGTGGCTTCAGCTGAGCTGTGAGTTTGGGCATTTCTGTGGGAGCATAAAGGACAATATTTTAAGTGTATTCTAGGCCCATAAGAAGAAACATGAATGGTTTTACCTTCTAAGTAGGGGAGGGTGGGAGGCTCATGAAAGGGTAATTTAAATCATGTAGAGTATCCACTACCCAACCACCCTTCCTGGACCATTTTCTTTTTGCACAGGGGTGCACAGCCAACAGAAGGCTGTGGAGCAAAGTCCTGCAGCCCTCAGTGTTCCAGAGGGAGCCATGGCCTCCCTCAACTGCACTTACAGTGACAGTGCTTCTCAGAACTTCATGTGGTATCAACAGTATTCTGGGAAAGGTCCAAAGCTGCTGATGTTCATATACTCCAATGGTGAAAAAGGTCAAGGAAGATTCACAGCGCAGCTTGATACAGCCAAGCGGCATCTTTTCCTGCACATCCGAGGCTCCCAGCTCAGTGACTCAGCCACCTACCTCTGTGCAGTGAGCACACAGTGCTCCCCAGGAACCTGCAGCTGCACAGAAACCTACTGTCTCAGGAGGCCTGAGGTAGAGCATAGACCACAGAGAAGAGAGTCTTTTGTGCTCTAAATGTGATGGGAATTAAGAGTAATAAACATTGCATTAGGAGTGTAATCCCCAAACAGTAATTCAAAGGGAAGAAAGGAGTCAAGAAAAAAATCCAATTTGGGAAAGTGTTTAAGACCAAATTATTACTTTTTTTTTTGGAGGGGGGTACCAGCAATTGAACTCAGGGGAACTCAACTGTTGGGGATACAAATCAAGTCAAGATGGCACCTGGCACTTTGCCAGGAGGAGTGGTTTGTGAAGTAACACCAGAAATATGTTTACTTCAGAATTTTTTTCAAAATTAAATGAAAAAAAAGATGCTATCATAGGTTGAGTTTCTTAAAGGAAGAACATGAATTGAAATTATTTTGCTCATAATTTGTTGAGGAAAGAAAGTTAATATGGACAATAGTTAAGTGTGGATGTTGTTCAACTGTAATCTTGATTTTTGCCTGATATTTTTGGGACCTCTGGGGCATGAATATTTCTGCAGATCTGATCCCTCCCACCTTGAGGTAAGGGGGCGAGACTACCAACATTTTGTGTGCAAAAATAAAGTACTGAAGTCATTGGCAGTAGTTTTTCTTGGAATAGCGGTATAAACTATTGGGCAATGGTGACTCTTAGTGGCAGAGGTCAGTTTTGTGGGTAAAGACCAACTGTGAGTCAAGAGTAGTCAACACTCATTGTGGGGGACTGCCCTGCACACAAGCTAAGGACCCCTCCTCAGCCTTGAGTAAAGGGTGTTGGACTGGGATCACACACCCCATGCTGTGCAAAGCCAGTGGTCCTTACCTCAGCTTGGCAAGGAAGTGCTTCAGTTCTGGGCTTGAGCAATACTCAATGGGACTGGGCAACTCTCCTTTTGAAATATTATCTCCTGCCTTCTTTGGGTGGAATAGTCCATCGAATGTTTTTCCCCTAATAAATAGAGGGGTTCCGGGTACACTGGCTCTCTTGCCCTCTGGCCTTCCTTTATGGAAGAGGACCCTTGAGGTCGCAAAGCAGTCCCACCCTCGGCCTGAGAAACTCATGTCCCTTTGTTGGGTGATTTCTTTGCCACTTTCTTAGCTTAATGTTGCAGCCAGCTCTTCTGAACCCAGCTCATCTCTTCAGCGTGGGTAGCTGGAGAGAACTCTTAGTATCTGGGGATTGTTTACACCAACCTGGGACAGGGGATTTAGGCTGAACACCAACATGGAAATTTGCTGGAACATGGGTGGCATTCACTTGCTGAGAGACTTTCTAATTTCTGTATTCTATTTTTTTACTTTCATCATCTATTTAATAGGGTATCTATAGCTGGTCTTTTCATTCTTGAAGAATTGAAATAATTGAACTCAAAGCACTTGTTAATAGAAAAGATTTAAATAAGTATAAGGGATTGTTATTTAAAACTAAGTCTTAAAAAAATAAAAATAAGGGCTGGGGATGTGGCTCAAGCGGTTGCTCACTCGCCTGGCATGCGTGTGGCCCGGGTTCGATCCTCAGCACCACATATAAAACAAAGATGTTGTGTGCACTAAAAAATAAATATTAAAAAATTCTCTCTCTCTCTCTCTCCCTCTCTCTTTAAAAAAATAAAAATAAGTCTTATACTTGTTTAAGAGAAATGTTTTAGTCATATTTTTCACCATTGTGACTTAAGGACCCAACCAGAACAATTGTCGTGGAGGAAAGTTTATTTGAGGGCTCACAGTTTCAGAGGTCTTAGTCCACTGAAGCTGGCTCCATTCCTCAGGGCTCAGGTGAAGCAGAACATCATGGCAGAACAGTGAGGCAGAGGGAAGCAGCTCACATAGGGATCAGGAAGCAGAGAAAGATTCTGCTCTCCAGATACAAAATATATACCCATAGTCACACCCCAGTTCCCACTTCCTCCAGCCACATCCTACCACTTCAGTTAGCACTCAATTTATCCCTATCAAGGGATTAATTCACTAATTAGGTTAAGGCTGTAACCCAATCATTTCTCCTCCAAACTTTCTTGCATTGTCTCACACATGAGTTTTTGGGGAACACCACATTAAACCATAACAAGCAGAGATCAGGAAACCAGTATATTATTTTCTCAGTTTGTTTTAGGAATGATTTTATGACACTATGTCTGTTACTGTACCCAGGCAGAAATGCCTCTGATAATCAGTTGATCATTTTGGGCTTTCCTCAATAAAAGACATACAGGAAGAGATCCCACCAAGTACACTTGGGAATGGCTAACATTATTCTGTTCTTTGTTTATCTTTAAGAATGAAGGGCTGGGTATCAGCGCAGACTCCCTATGTCTTTGTGCACATGCTCCATACAAGGTGCCTTCTTGAGTGGGGTTGGCTGGCAGGATGTTATGTGGGCATGCACGTGAATGGACAGGGTTTTCATTAAAATGAAAGCGCAGGCCTTGGACAGTTCAGTTGCTCCTTTTCTTCCCTGTGTCTAATGCCAGTTTGAAGATGGACGAACTCTGTCAACTACTATCATCAAAATCTTTAGCCTTCCCTGATGGCTCATTGCAATTTAGTGAGAGCTGAGTGTCTGTGTGCTCCTCACACACAAGCACCAGCAGGATGGAGGGCACAGAGGGAGGCTGCTGTCCCCTTCACACACTCACATTCAGTCTGTTCCTTTGTGTCCCTCCCTCCTGCCCTCCAGCACACCTACTCTCCCTCAGCCCAGAGCTGCTCCAGGGTCTGGTGGAACTGGTCTCCTCCACTCACATTCCCACTTGGATCTTCACAGGGCTCATTCTGGGCTGTGCTTTTCCTTTCTCTGTTTCATCCATCAGTGGGCTCCTGAATGCTTTCCATTTTATGATGTTGATACATTTCTCTTATAATTATCTTGACATCATGTAATGAGATTCATCTGTGCCGCAGTCTGGCTGGGCACAAAATCACCAGCCACTAACAGCCTTGTAGATTCAAACAGCAGTTCTTTATTCCTGAAATGTCACCGGCACTCTACACGCACGTTCTGGGCAAAATCCACACTCTCCACCAGGCTCTGAATCCCAAATACTCTCTGAATCCCATGAGAACTCAACGGGAACTCAAGGCACCTGAGGCAGCAGGATACGCCCTATTCCCAGCAGGAATCACCTTAAACCTGGAACCGCCCTAAACCCGCATCGCCCTAAACCCCGATCCGCCCTAAACCCTGATCCACCCTAAACCTGGATCTGCCCTGGTCCTTGAGCAAGGTCAACTTTCATGCAAAGTCACTTCAAATGACCTGGGTCCACAATATAGAGTCCTTCCTCTAAGCAACATGGGGTAGGCTGACAAGGAAATTGCCATGTGTCGTACCTACTTAGCTATGGCTCTCAGCATCTCCCCCCTTCTGATTAATTAAACAACAAGCAATGTGGCTTAGGGACCGTGCCTGGTAGGTTGTCCAATTCAACATATGGTTCTTACCTGTCATGGGATGAACTGACCTCTAGGCATCAGCCTCCTGTCTTAGGTTGATACCACTGCAATTGGATCATACCCATCACTGACTACCAGTCCAGCATACAGCCATACTTGTGGATAGGCCTATGCAGCAGTGGGGGGGGGGGTGAGGTTCTTTGCCTCACCTCTGTTGGCCCCCAAATTTTAGACCATCACTAGCAGAAGGGAGGAGGATACAGAAATGCCATGACACCAAGCCAATTGACAGCTCTTTTGGAAAAATTGCATCACTGGTGACACCATCAGCAAAGATATGCCAGCACTACCACAATTCGCTGCACCAAACGATAGTTCGCAATGTATACAAGTGATACATAGTCCAGGCAAGTTCTGCAAGCAGTTCAAAGCAGAGGAATCTATCAATATGTCTGTTTCCTCCCAAAGTAAGTCGACTCCTTGATTGAGCATTACTTGTTGAGTTATATTCATTGATGAATCAGTTTATACAGCTTACTGTGATAGCTATCATAGAAGCTGTAGTTTGGTTTTATCTTTGTCTTCACTGGCACTGGGATGAAGATAGGAATTCTGGCAATGATGCTAAAGAGACATTATCCTGAAAAGAATTATTAAATATAATGAAAAGGAAAGGTGAAAGTAAACAAACAGATCTGTTAACCTCCTTTAAAAACAATCCTTAAAACAGCTGTTTACCTAATTTAAATTAAAAAATTTAAATCACTTGAATAAAAAAAAAATTCGGATCCATTTTTTCATGAGCGCTCCTCATATATGAAATATGGACATACGCACACACAGACATACAACACAAAACACAAGAGTGCACACAAACGTACAACACATAAGACAATAGTAAAGGCCTTGTAGCTTTACCTAGGTGAAATCTCCATTACAATGTTTAAAAACTCCATAGTCAAAAAATAAAACTGATCAGAAAAATATTAACCTAGGTTTGTATAAGCTCAAAAAATAAAATACAACTTTATGATGTGGGAAAAGGCAATAATAAAATAGATATTGAAAAAAGCATCCTGGTTAATCACTGTCGCAGATGTAAGAATAGCCAAGCTGGAGCTCTGGATATCAGCTGTTATGGATTTGAGTCAAATCATCTTCTTTTTGGTCTGTAGAAATTGCTTTGGTTAGTCTCTCTGGAATCCAAATCGGTTGCTGTTCTCCCTGTGGAAACACACAAACAGAATCCTGACTCCAGACAATCATTGGGTCAGGACCTTTCCATTGTCCTGTTAGAATATCTTTCCAAAGTACCTTAGGCTTATGTACATTTTTTGGATACCTATGTCTTTCCACAGCACTAAGCCCTGATGAATCCAAATTTAAAAAGTTTAGAGTAAAAAGGGTTATTTTAAGTTTATCTTTCTGGGATATATACCCCTTTCCAATTCCCTCTTTTTGCTTTAATAAGTACATTTTAATAGTTTGATGAGCTCTTTCAACTATGCCTTGTCCCTGTGGATTGTATGGGATTCCTGTCATATGAGCAACGCCAAATGATGAGCAAAATTGTTTAAAAGAGGTAGAAGTATAACCAGGACCATTATCTGTTTTTAACTGTTTAGGAACGCCCACAGTGGCAAAATTTTGTAAGCAATGAGGTATAACATCTTTAGTTTTTTCTCCAGCATGAAGGGAGCCCATCAAAAATCCAGAAGAAGTATCAACTGTAACATGTAAATATTTTAATTTTCCAAATTCTG